AGAGAGTGTACCAGCGAGAGGAAGCAAATGTTAAAGTTGTGAGATGTAATGTGTTTGGACTATTTAAGAGCCAAGGAGACCAGCTAGAAGACAGTAAACCAAACATAGAATATTGGTAGTTTAGAGCCAATTATATTACTTTTGTTTTTGTCGTTATTATTGTCCTAAAGTAATAGTGTGTGGAAACCTCACTGCATGTGGCCACATCTCTGGTAACTTGAATGATCCATCAGTAAAGATGGTTAGAGTATTGCGCTAGAACTGGCTTGTAGGGGCTCACAAGAGCCTATTTTAGTATCTCTTTCCAACTCCATGTTCGGTGACATTATTTAGCCTCTGATCAGCTATGATGTGAATATTTATACCACGGAAATCAACAAATGCTATAAATCAGGGTTTTTTTTTCCAGATTGCTAGTTGTTAAACATTTACTAGCAATTCAATTGTCCACCAAATGATGAATAAACAAAATGTAATATATTCATATAATAGAATATTATTTGGCCATAACAAAAAGGAGTAAAGTACTGATACATATTACAACTTGGGTGAAACTTAAAAACAGTAAGCAGAGTGAAAGAAGCCACTCACAAAAAAAAAAAATCACATAATATATAATTTCATTTATATGACATGTTCAGAATAGGCAAATCTATAAAGACAAAAAGTAGATTAGTGGTTGCCAAGAGGTGGGGAAAAAGGGAGACTGAGAGAAAGGAGGGTGCCCAGTAAGGGGTATGGGATTTCTTTTTGGGATAATGAAAATGTTTGACACTTGATTGTGGTGATGACTGCACAATTCTGTGAATATATTAAAATCATTGATTGTATCCTTTAAATGAGTGAATTCTGTGGTATATGACTTATATGTCAATAAAACTGCTCTAAAACAACAGCAACAAAAACCATTTACCAGCACACAGCTGGTCAGAATACAGCATGGGCATGGAAGCAAGAAAAGTACAGAGCATCCTCAAGGAAGGGAGAGAAATAGACCAGGCCCGGGCTGCCTGGAAACAGAAGGTTTAATAACTAGACGGCTCCTTAATTCCATCTTCCATGTATTTATTTCACAAACAGTTGTTTAGCATTTACTGTATTCCAGGCTCTAGGGACAAAAAAAAAAAAAAAAAGACTAAGACCAAACCTCTGCCTTTGATTTGGGATCTCACAGTCTATAGCACCAAGAAGAGTGGGAGTAGAGAAGAATACTGAGAAGGGAGGGAAAACGAATTCGGCATTTCTGGTTTGTTTTTAAACTGGCAGTATCCTTGTTCCCTGTTTGGTTCATGAGGTCACTGAAGAAGTCAATGGTTGGGGAAGAAAATGAGAAAGTGACAGCATTCATAAGATAGTCCAGAGGTCTGTGATAGAGAGCTACACAATGAGATGTGTGATAATATGGCCTCAATTACCATTTCCTCTTCATTCTCAGTTAATTTACAAAGGGCTTACTTATAAAGGTGGAGTATTGGTAAACTCCAAGAATAGTGAAGGAACTTAGGACTTGCAGCAGCAGAGAAGTCACCGCCCCTAGACTTGATAGAAGGAAGGAGAAAAAGGTTACCAGGACCTAGGAGAGAGGCTGGTGTAATGAAAACTGCCTTGAAAAAACCAGTGACAGGCTGTCAAAAGACATCAACAGCTCAAGCTGACAGCAAAGGAGTAATATCAGGAATAAAATCCTTGATCTCAGTCTCCTCCCTCTCTCCTATAGTGACCAGACCCAACTCGAAGCTAGAGGGTACTGGAGCTTGCTGATAGAATCCATATAGGTTGTCCGCCCTGGGAAGAGAGTAGGGACAAAGGAAGATCTATATAAGATCTGGAGGGCAAATGAAAAATACTTTGTCCAGTATGAAACCTTGAAGAGGTCCCCTTAGGAAGTGATGGTTGCTATAGCTCCAAAGAATTTTCTGTGTAATTCTGCCCTCTTCTGCTCGCCTGCTAATTCCATCAAAATCATCTATAACACACTCTACAACAGAACCCTCTAAGGGCACTAACCTTGAAAAGATGTGATATTGTGAAGATAGATCAGTCAGCTCAAAGAATAGTAAGCTCTGCAGACTCCCTCTCCATCTACTCCTCTCCCTTTTCACCAAATTATAAATATTGACCAAGTAACTTCTCATTGGAAAAAATAAAGGAGGATTCCTATTTGTAGTCTGCAAGAAAAAGGGCTTCCTTTTTGATCTAAATATTCATTACTTTATCATTGCCATTGTCAATTGGCATTTACTGAGCACTCAATGTGCAAAGCACTGGGTTACACACAAGATAACTTTTGTTATTCCAGAGAGGGCCCATTAAATTTTAGTACTGGATAGAACTTTAGAGATCATCTAATACTCCACTTTTGTTTTGCACATGTAGAACTTAAGATCTAGAACAGAAACATAACTCCTACAAAGTCACCTGCCAAGCACAACCTCTGATCTGCAACTGATTCCATCCCTCCCTTACCACAATTTGATACCAACCTCTTGAAGCCTAATGAACTTCTGTTTCCTAAGCTTCTCTCCTAATCATTCCCTGTCCTAAAACAGACTTCCATTGTATAAACAATAGGCATCATCAGAAAGGCTGATGCAATTTTCAAAATGAAACATTCATTTCAAAAAAAATTTTAATTGCATATTATTATTTTAGGAAGTACGAATCCACAGGATCAAACGAAAGATGGGCTATTCCAATTCCAAAAAGATTAAAAGTCTCTGAACTGTAAGTTCCACAGAGATGTTTATCTTTATAGGAATTTAGTATCGGAAGTGGTCATAGTCTGTGCCAAATCCCAAACCTGAGGTACTGTGGGATTCTTCAGAGAAACAAAACCAATAGGATTATATATAGAGAGAGGATAGGTAGGTAGGTAGATAGGTAGACAGACAGACAGACAAGTAGGAATTGGCTCACACAATTATTGAGGCTGAGAAGTCCCACGATCTGCTGTCTACAGCTGGAAATCCAGGAAAGCCAGTGGTTTAATTCAGTCTGAGTCCTGAAGCCTGAGAAAAAGGGGAGCAAATGATGTAAATTCCAGTCCAAGGGCAAGAGAT